TTAGCTTGGTCTAGGATGCTCGCAGTTTCCCAGCTGAAATTGTGGTTGAGTCTGTCCATGTGTTGTGAGATTAAGGAGTTTTCATCGTGTCTTCTGACTGCTAGTTAGTGTTCATGGATGTGCTCTGCTAGTCTGCTGCCTGTCTGTCCTACATAGTAGCTATTACAGCCCTTACATTGTATTTTGTAGATGACTCCTGTTTTTTTCTTCTTGGGCTACTGGGTCTTTTGGTTTACTTAAGAAGTTTTACAGGCTTTAGTTGGTTTGTGTGTTACAGTGATGCCGTGTGGTTGTAACAGTCTGTTGGTAGTTTCTGAGATGTTTCTGATGTATGGCAGTGTTATCCTTTTCATAGCTTGTGTTAGTTGTCCTGTAATGCGTTGAGTGGTCAGGCAGTTTTTGATAAAGTTGCATGGGTATCAATTTTGCATGGGATAAACAGCATTTACGCACCATTCAAAAGAGACAGTAAGAAAGCTAAAAAGGAAACAAAAAGACACATCCTCTCCAGCAGCCTATACCCAGATAAGCAGGGATTAACACTACATAATCATCAAGCAGAAAACAATACTCTAATCAAGGAACAGGGAGCAAACCCCACACTCACTAACAGTGATGATGTAAGGTAATGAAATGTCTGCAATCTTCCATTTCTATTAAATGATAAAACAAGGAAGGTACCTTCCATGGGCTACCCATTACAAAATAGCATATCCTTGCTTATAATGTATGTCATTGGAAACCTGATACCTTATGGACATTGACTTTCAAGTCCTGTATTCTTAAACATAGACCATTCTATTTGGAACAAATAAGATTTGTAGATCTAGACATTTGGAGGCGCCAAAGTTTCTTCCCCTAATATAAATCTTTTTAACCTTGGAAGTATAGAATTAATTTACTAAGATTGGAAAAAAGATTGTAGAGTGCATGTGTCATGAATTTTAATTTTTAAAAATGGTATGTCTTTTCTTGTCTATATTTTCCTGTTTATCACTCTTCCTTTTATTTTTACAGTCTATATTATCTCCTACTTTTATTTCCTTTTCAGCTGTTTATCATTTGTGGTATTTTGTTAATACAATGTAGTTGTTCTCTTGTTAAAAATTACACATTTGTTAGTGAGCTTATATATGCTTATCTGCTTCAAGAATTCATTCTGTCTTAAAACAATTAAGTAAGATCACCAACAAATATTGAGTCTACTGTGTCACGATTGGGTCACATATATTCATGGACTTCAGCGTTCCTATTCTTCAGATGCCAGGCAGAACCAGTTAAATTTCCACAGCCTTTTACAAACTTTTGTAATCAAGACTGCAGTCCTATAGCCAATGGCATCTAATTAATCATAGAAGAAATCAAAGTCTATATGATAGACTTTGATATAGATAGAGGTATCAAAGAGCTCTAACAAGAGGAAAATAACTGATGTCCGATTTCCTCCTTTTACCCCTATGAAAGCTTCTATGCTCTCACTTTTCTGATATCAAAGTTCTGACATAGAAGATATAAATGTGCCATGGGCTAAACAATGGAAGTCTTTGGATCTGTGAGATCCCAAAGTCTCCAATCCTCAAGAATATCCCTGGGCCAGAAAACAAACAAACAAACCAGGCTAGACCTAGTCTGTAGTATTTCTCTCCATTGCAGACAATGGAAGGAAAACTGTTATTATTATCATTATTTACTATTATTTTAATGGCAGGAAGTGTAGCAAAGACTGCTTTTTCATGGTTCTGTCATGCCAGGATTAACCCAGCCTCCAGGATCAAAGCTATCTGACATGAGAGCCAAGATTGCCCTGGCGAATCTGATGGAGTTGGGAAAGAGAATGAGAATTCAGAGCAGAAAAACGATCAGATAGTAAGCACTGTCAGGCTTGTGACAGCAACGCAGACAAAGATTGTGAGAGTACCTTTCTCTCTCTGTACATTTTCCTCCTGCTGCTGTGGTTTTCCTGTCATTTCCTTTCCCAGAATGTCTCATTCTTCTTTCCCTGTAGAAAGGAAAATAAATATTTCAGGTCTAATATATATGAGGCTCAAGAGTTCTAAGGATGTGATAGGAACATGAGTGTCCCAGCAGATCTGAAGCAACCGTTAAAAAGAACAAGAAGAGGAATGGAGCTCTTCATGCTCTTGAGGGGAAAATGTGCAAGGAGAGAGCTGCTTCTCTGCCCATGGACTTCTCTGGGGTTGCAGAGAAAGCTTTGCTCTGTCTTTTTGTCCCTGCAGAGTGGCCTTCCTTGGGACCACAAGATTGCAGCTTTGTCTCTTTATGTTAAACTTGTGGTTTGTCTTATATGTGTTTATTTCTCTTTAGAGTGGTTGGACTTCTTTTTAAAATAACTGCTTCAAAGTCATTGATAAAAAGTACAATATAATGTTTTATAGAAGTAGTATTTCTGCTGCTTTATTCAATCCATGATGTGAACTGGCGTGGTGGAAAGACAGTGGATTGGAAAAAAGAAAAGGGGTGGGGGTGGGGAGGGGATTCAGGGTACTAAGGGTACTAAGAACAGTGCTTAGAGCTTTGATCACCCAGTGTATTTTGTCTTCTCATGTTAAATGCCTACAGACAAATCATAGGTTTCTTAGTTTTTGAAACAGTTTAAATTGGAATTCCAAAATGTGTAATTTTGATTCTTTTTTACATAAGTTCTTGCTTAGAAGTCTATTTTAAGTCCTTTTTTTCTGTTTGTTTTTTTAACTTGCTATAGTTTCAAACAGAATCTTTAATTTAAACTACTTTTTGTCTCCTTTTCCCCTTTTCTTCTTTTCTTTAATTTAAAAATTCTGATTTTTTTTTTTTCTGTCTACACAATCAAAGCTTCTTCGGATGTTTTCATTCAAGGTATAATATTTTTGGAATAGAAATCCACTGCATGTGACTGCTGAATTGAACAATTAGAGCTTCACTAGAGGTTTAAATAATTGTGCATTCTACTTGAAACAGCCTTATGGTAAAGTAGAATGGATAATATTTAGAAATGAACATCAAGTTGATTCAGCAGCCCAGACACTAATTCACCACTGTTTTGAACTTATGCTAAGTTCAAAAGATTTGAATATTTGGGTCGCATGCATGAAGAGATCCTTGTAGAATATCTAAAACATCTGTGTGACTCTTTCACTGTTAAGTTATCCATGGGATCCAATCCAATATAATAACCACACCAGGAATACACAACAAATCCTTTTAGAACTTATTTCTAAACCTTAATGATATCTTTTGAAGATTTTCTGGTCAGAAATCTTTCAAAGATGTAAACTATTGGATACCATTGGATGATCTTATAATTGTTTTTACATATGCCAACAGAGTTTTGAAGGGTATAACATGCTTATATTTACTGCTGTCACTAGCTGTTGATATCCAAAGTGGAAAATGCAGGGTAGCTGTATAACATTGTTAAATATACACCATTCTGAAATAGACATTTTTTTTTAATATCCAAGCAAAGGATTAAATAAAATGGTAATCCTAATACATTTGAAACAACTTTCTGCCTCCACCCTTAATTTTAATAGTAATTCTTTTTTATCTTTCATATGCCAGCTGCTGGTTCTAAGCAGTTTGTTCCTCAAAGGCTCAAAAATTTTTGTCAGTAAAATATGATTGTAGTGATTGAACGTGTACAGCTGCCATATACTGTGTTGACATTATGAAGTTTTTAACTAGTGAACAGTTGTTAATCCAAAACTGCATGTTATCAGGAATGCTTAATTCCAAAGATCATTAAAAACTAACCTGTGTACAACTAATTCATCTGGTAGTATTCCACTTCCCCATAACCAATTTTAGGTTATTTCACTATGCAGAAGTATAAAGCATCAACTTTCAAACTTATGGCAAACCAATACAATCACCTTCTCTATTGAGCAGTCATTTTACAACTGACAAGGAAAACAAATCATGGTATTCCTTTGGCTTCATTCCTGTTTGGAATTAAGCCCTGCTGAGTGGCTGTTCAGTAACCTTTGGATTTAAGGTGTAAGTGTTGGATTGTGGCTTTGAATCAGTTCAAAATGATGGGTTCATCATTATAGTAGCAAACCAGATCTTTAGCAAGTTGCTCATGTGGCTGTTCTATAGAGCAACTAGTCAGTTCACACTAGTTAGTTGAAAAGAGAACTTTGTAAAGCAAAGCGACAGCAATTCATCATTGCCCTTTTCCCTTCTTGCCCCTCATTTATCTTAGGCGCCTACAATTGATATCCGTCCAAGGTCAGCAACGATTCAAATGAACAATGCAACACACCTCCAAGAACGGGATGAAGAGTATGGCTATGAGTGTCTTGATGGCAAGGACTGTGCAAGTTTTTTCTGCTGCTTTGAGGATTGCCGAACAGGAGCTTGGCGACATGGAAGGATACATATTCGCATTGCCAAAATGGACTCCTATGCCCGCATATTTTTCCCCACAGCCTTCTGTTTGTTTAATCTGGTCTACTGGGTATCTTACCTTTACCTTTAAACAAGCAGAAAGGAAATGGATGACATGAGCCTTATTCTTGGAATTTTATTAGAAGATTGGTTTCCTGTATGAATTCACTTCAGTGCCATGATCTAGTGGCTTCAGTGCATATGAGGGGACTTAAAATAAACACATGGACTTTCCTGCAGGCAGGAGCCATCCCATTCTCTTCCACCCTAGGGAATGTGCTGCACATTTATCATTATTTGTGCATAGCATTCCTTGACATAAGGAGGGAATGGCTCAGCCCTGGTCTGTTGAACATCAAAGTTTCATGAACTTTTAAATTTTATAACATGCTTTGCGGTGATCTGAATCCTTTAGTGCCATAAATCAGTAAATACCAACCATCAGATCATTTGTTGAAGGCTACTGTAACACTGTTGTGATCTGGATGATATCATTCTACATTTTAAGTGCTATGATCCAATGAAGATCCAGGATCATACTGAAGGCCACCCATGAAACTGAGGGGAGCCATGAGGAGAGGAACCACACCAACTCTCAAGGTTTGGGTGTCACCATTTCAGTTACATACGACAGCAGGTACATCTGAACGGGGTAAATGCTGTCTAGTGCATTAGCATTAACTATAAATGTATGATATCTTTTGTCCTCTGTAGGCTTTTCTTTTTGGAAGAGTCATCTTTCACTTCAGATCAATGTAACTAGTCAATGGGGAGAAGGCAACTTTTCTTCTCACTCAAATTAAAAAAAAAAAAAAAGGAACTGCTGGGTGCCCTTCCTTAGACCACATGTACAAATGTTGTAAATATTTCATTAGCTTGTAGCACTTGGGTCTAGTGCATGAAGATTTCTTTTTGGGGTGGGCAAGATGAATGAAGCAAAGATTTCCATATATATAACTGTCTTTTATTTTAGATCCCCTGGCTTTTGCTGAAAACTGTGGAGTAACCATTGCCTTCTTTTTATTTGTCTGGCAGAAATCCCTTCTCCCTCACGCATGGAAGATTTGAACAGGCAGCACTTTTCTGACGTTAGGCAAGTCTTAAACAGTTGAACAAAGCACACTGCTCCATGGACAGACCAAACCAGAATGACAAACTTTAAATTCTGTAACTTTGTTTTAGGTGTTAGCTGCTGTTTTATTCCTCATTTTCCACAGCAACTGAGATGGCAATTACTATATATATATACAGCAAGAGAGGCTGTGGTCTTTTGAAGCCTTGTTCACAGGAAGCTACTTGTTCAAAGTAGCATTCCCTACTTTGAATGCTGATCATTGCTAGAATGCTTTCGCTGAGATGCATGATCTATCTGAATGAACTAGGCTGAATATAGCTCTGGCTATATTTGCTTTTCCGGGGTCCAGCAAACATTTGCTTTTCAGGCAGATGTTGGTATACTTTCATTTGAAATAAATAGACCTGCAGTTCACCATGCATTAGTGTGATGATGTTCATGCTTCCCTTCTCCTTCTCTTGCTCTGGGTCCTTTGGTTATGATAAAGCTCTCCACAGTTGACACACAAGCTAAATACAACCAAAACAAATGGACAGACCAAAAGGAGAAAAGAGGGTCTTTGCTAATCCACCATAGTATGTGGGTGCTCCAGCAACAACCAAAACCACCTAGGTGATTCTTGTAACTCATTAAGCTAGCAAATGAGTTTGAAATATTCATGCAGTGCTCAGTTATACAGTCTTTAGCACATGTAAATATCTCCGACAGGTTTATGGTCACAAATGGTAAATAACAAATAGGTTTGCAGCTGGGAATGAGGAATAATCACTGCAAAATTAATGATAGCCAATACAGAATCCTAAGGACAGTTTTCTAATGTCTGTATAGTTTTAAAAATAAACATGTATAGAAAGGAATAACTGACTTCTGATCATCAATTGCTCCTTATTTAATGTACTTGAAAGAAGGAAATGCACATACCCATTTTTTTTCCAATAAAATTGCTGCATTCAATATTATAGTTGTCTTTGAGTCTGATTTCACTAATAACAACCACAGATGGTTGTGCATATGCTGGTTCATCTAATTTCTAAACTTCTTTTTAGTTTTTTAAAAAAGCTTTATTTTTAGATCCCTGCTTCAAAATGTCAGTGATTAAAGAACACATCATTCAACTCTACCTTTTCAAGATGTAGGTTTCTAAAATATAATGGATTTCCCCCCCTATTATCTGCAGACCTCTTTTTATGTAAGGCTATGTCCTGCAACTATCATCACCTAAGTGAAGTTCATGATGAAAACATGGTGCTTAAAGTAGCTAATGGTACTAATGAATGGTAGAAAAACACAGCTAAGGTTTAATGGATAATAATGAGAACGAATGTGAAGGAGGTTGTATGTAGACTTACAATGTTTCCCATACCATTTTTTAAAATTGTCTGATGGCTTTATGATCAAGATCCCATAATCACTAAAGGCAAAATACTGAAAAGAGAGTCCACTTAATTTCATAGATATGACATATACCTGACATAGCATTGTTTATCACTGTGTATCCTCTATTTCAGCCATTCCCTACTTCCCTGCTATTTCCACAATTCCCTACTACTTTAAACATTGCTGAGGTAAGAAACAATCTAAGTATTGTGCCTTGTATGATACCATAAAGAAAAGGTAACATCTGGTGACCATTCTGTGACTGCCAGTCCCATTCAATAAATGTGTGAACCTATTGCTGGCTAAATCATAGTTCTCTTTGGCCATTTTAAAAGCAAATTGGCTATTTCCTTTTAATCAAATTGATCATAGCCATTAATCTATGGGCTTTGTGGATTAGATACATATTTTGCCTTCTGTTTGTGGAGATAGAATTCAGTCATGTTAAACACAAATAGAATGATTGGAGGCAGGAGAAATCCATGACTCGTGATCCTTGCCAGAATCTGTATCATGTTCTCTTCCAGTTCTTAAACAGTAGAAAAATACTTTGAGGAAACTAAAGGCAAGTTTTCAGGATTGCAGGTTTCCACAATAAATCTCAATTTATTTTAGGAACAAGTACACATTGTTGGCCCTCTGTAAAGTCAGGTTGGCAAGGTTTCAAGCATGGATCAGAGCATTATGAAACAGTCCTTCCTTATTAGGTTTGTGGATTTCCAAATATCTCATGAATTCTTTCTCTTAAATCTTTTTCTAACCAAGATGGAATGAAGAAAAAGACAAGCAAAGGAATAGGATTTAGGAACATATTCCTTCCTGAAAACCCAATCATTGGATTTAAAAAAAAAATCTGTTTATTGCCAACAATGTCTTAAACAAATCTTAATGAAAATACCAGTGGTACTTCATATCTTATATCTATTCATACCAAAATATGCCTGCACTGATTGCATAGCTGATCTGCATTAGTTCCCACTGGAACATGTCCTCTATTCACCTTGAAACATTCATATAACATACCATAAATATGCTTAAGGAAAGTCATCTGTTGGCTACTTTACAGTATCCTGATAAAGTCTGAAATGTTTAGTATCCATGAAAGTCCTTTTTCTTGTACTCTGGAGAAGATCATCTCAATTTCTCCAAGCCTAAGCCTAAGGAAGAAGCTTTTTCATTGATGTGGGATTAATTCTATGAGGATTATTTCTTGTTTTTAGAATCAATTGCCATTGTTTCCAACACTATTTTTAGATGCTTTATTGCATCATCTCAGATGGGTATCAAATATTGAGCAAATCTTAGTCCAAGGACCCTTTTCTATTCTTCACTGGAATTCTAGTTTACTTATTCCATGCCATTCCTCAGTTTTGTGTATTTTCTTCACTTACCTCAGATTTATTGAGTCAAACATTTGCATTTTTTAAAAAGATTTAAACGGATATCTTATTGAGCATATGACTGAGACAGCATTGCTTCAAATATGCTACCAGCCCTCCTCTCTAGCTTGCTCTTGGGAGAACATATTCATACTTTTCAACAGCAACACATTTTGATACACTGAAAATAATGGATTCGGTCCCTGGCATTTCCAGAAGGACTGATCTGATTCAAGTTCAAGCAGCTTCCTATGATTTTTGTTGTTTTGAAAGATGGTTATTTGTTGTGTTCACAACTTTTCATGGATTTCTCCTGCCTCCAATCACCAAGCAGGCTTCAGAGATTCTTTGGCAGGAGTTAATAAGAACAGCTTCTTCCCTTCCAAGGTCTCAAGGGACTGCCTATTGTTAACATAGCTGCTTGCAAAAAAAATCTATATAGCACCATTAAAATGGAAGCCATTCAACCTCCTGACAGGTGATAGAAAGCCATATAAGCCACAAGCTTTCTGTTATTAATGTGGCAATAGGACACAATCTAAGATAATGAACTTAAATAATTCATGGCAAGGCTTGTAGGATATAAAATAAAACAGTCCTCAAACTCCTTAGGTAGGAGTATGCAGTCCTATAGCTACCAGATGCATACTCAGGAAATGGGCACAATATTTAAGTGATATTTTCTAGCTTCGTTTAACTAGTATATAATCCAGAATGGGGTTGATCAATGGAACAACCACAGAAAAGTGCAAAACAAAATTAACAGTTGACATAAGCATAAAATGATAAACTCAGGAACTTTCAGATGTTTGCCAGCCTCCTACGTGTGCACTTACTTGGAAGTAAATCTTGCAGTATTTATAACATTTATAAAACTTACGCACATCTATGTCAAAGACCGTGTTGCAAAGAGTTTTATTAAAGGATTACAAAATTTTATTGACTTATGATTTTAACATCTTAATCTACAAATACCAACAGATAATAATGCTTAACTTTATGCCATGAAAAGCATCACTAATTGATTTTTGCAGTTCAAACTATTGTTAAAAGTTTGAGGGAGGCCAAGCAAAGCTTTTTTAAGCCATCTTCTCACAGTTATGATCCTCAGCAGCTGCTTACCATAAAAGGTTATGTAGAATTCAATTATCTAACCTTCTTGCTTCTATAAACGGTGATGTCTTATAGTTATGCTGCTTAAAAAGTGCTTCTTTTTGATTGACACTATGCATAGCCAGTCCAAAACTTCCCAATTTTTCA